CCCCCCTGAGGCATCCGTTCGGCCCCAGGGAGGGCAGGGTGGGCTTTCAAACCTGGCGAGCGATCGCTTTCTTTCGCCAAAATGGCCAGGGCGATCGAGCGATCGATACCATATTGAAAAATGAAACGAACATGACTGAACAGTTTTGTGTCGAGTGACTTGCAAGTTCCTACCTACCAGCCGACAACTTGCTCACCACTCGTTGCAAAACCCCGCACCCCCACAAGTTGCTTGTTCAGCCATGTAACATACAAACTGTCGCACTCACTTTTTAAGCGAGCGCTGTAGGCATGGGGTCACAGTGCTCGACTGAATCAACTTTGGTGAACACAGAAGAGACCGAAGGGGGAAAAGAAGTACACCATCATCCTGAACAGGGAACCTCTTCACGAGTCCGACAGGACAAAGGTGAACCCCATCCATCAAAAAGGTTTCAGGAACACAGTCCCGATACCCAGGCCCTCAGTCGCTCCGGCCCAGTTTTGACCAACGCATCATTAGTCAACGATTCAGCTCGAACGGCCACCTTGCCCAAACAGTTTGCCACCCTAGGCGTTCGCCTCTTTGCAGATCATCTCTTGAAGGAGGGTCAGCTGCATTCGCATCCGTGGCAACCCGATCGACAAACACTCTGATCTGCATTCTGAGCACAATATCCCAAAAGACAGAAATCAGCGAGCAGATGTCTTGACGGCTCGAGTAGCCTTTAATCAAGGCCGACTCAACCACCTCCGAGTCGATGAAAATGAACAAATCGGTTCCACGGAGCCGATCGGCAAACGTTTCCAGGGCCACGATTGGGGCTAGCATTTCGACCGGAATAATTTGGGTTTTCCGAACTAACCATTTCTGTTTGAGCTCGGTCGGCACGGCAGCCGTGAACTGAACAGGTTTCATCATCCTGCGATCGAACAGAACAGCACCTATGCGATCCGGGAGCTTCAGAGCTTCCCTGGGGTCAGGAGAAAACCCATCCGTGAACAGCACTGCGTCGGCCTTTTTGTTGACACACAATTCGATCGTTCGAGGGGGGCCACCCTGAATGAGCTTCAGCCACTGTGACAGAGACTCTCTCAAAGGGGGATCTAACCCAAAACGATCGGAGTGAGCAACACGTGCGTATTGGCGCTCTCAGAAACGCCCTCCCTACTTTACCCCAAAGCTGACTAGCCCCAAACATCAACTTGCCTTTCAACTTACCCGCCTGACCAGGCTCAAGTTCATCCGAGGCCAGAACAGCTTCGATCTCATCGATCAGCTCCTGGCGCCGAGCGGCTTTGATCTCGAGCACCCAGTCTGCGAGGTTATATGTGACACCTAAGATCACTGGCTTGTCCGAAAGCTGAAGCTTCTTCACATCGAACGATGCACCTAGCCACCAGTGCACACACTGAGCAACCTGGAAGGCTGACTCGATCGAGGAAGTGGGCTCAAAACCATACTTATCATCGTAAAAGTTAAAGGCAACCAGCTTGAACAAGGAGCACAAGATCTCATTGATCGCGGCCGACCGCCTGTTGTAGTTGTACACTGCCGAAACTAGGCCGAACGAATGACCAATCATGACAAAGAATGAAGGCACGTTCGACTTAGGGTCCTTTAGGCAGATAACAAACTTACGATGATCAGGCTTGATCCCAACTTGCCGATAGGCTTTACGTTCGTCAAGCACCCAACCTGCGAACGAGGCCTCCGGCATGAGCGACCTCAACCGCCTAAGGGCTGCTACGTTCGTGTCGGTTGACGGCAGTTGCAGCTTCTCTGCGATCCGAGTGATCTGGTTGATCAAGTTGGTTGTCGCACTGTCACATCCTCTGACTTTGTTCTTCTGAACCACCTCGAACCTCTGAGTGGGGATCCAGTCAGTACAACCGAACAAGCTAGACACTTCATCGATCGAAGTCAACGGTCCAATGGACGACCCTTCTGCCACATCTTCGAGCGTCGCATCCCAGAGCTTCTGCAAATTCTCTGAGCTCGGAACTCGCTGTACTCGAGAAATGATCTTGGCTCGAATCTCCCAGGCCCGCTGACAAGCATGATCGATCGACAACACTTTCTGTGGTTTCTCGTAGTCAGGCCATCGCCGGGAGCGGGCAATTGATCCAACAATGGGAAAACCCTGGAGCAGCAAGTCCGGCAAATAGCGATCGACTGAGCCACAGGCTTCGAGCATTTCATAATACAAGGCAATGTGACAACAAGAGCCGAGCTGGCAAGGGGATCCATCTGGCTGACCCCGCAACAGCTTCCTCAGAGCTGCATCGGGCACTTTCTGCAACAACTGATCAGTCTGAGGCAACAAGGTCCATGCACGCTGCCGCCAAACTTCAAGTTGGTGAAGCCGATCGGTCACAACTGCCATGGTGTCGGCTGCCAAGGCCGATATGCACGAGGAAATACATGGATCCAAGTCAACTTCCACGCACAAAGGGTGGGGCAGCTCCAGAGCCCATGCGATTGCCACTCCTGGCTCGGTTTCCACGTTCAGCAATGGTTGGCGAGCGCCACGCTTGAGCTGGTAACCTGCAGCTTCGGCCTTCAAGGCTGAGAGAGCTTGGCGGTGTTCTTTCCAACGCAATGGCTGACCTACCGGCCTTTTCCGAGCGGGCGAGGTCATACGGAAACTCTTCAAGAACTGAAGGCCGGAGTCAGGCCAGAACAACCGAACGGCGTGAGCGAAGGTCTGGCACATGGCCGCAGGATAGACCTGGGCCAGCTTCGTCCTGAAGACCCATGCGTTGAAAAAGGTTGACCACACTTTGCCAGTGAGCTTTACATGCGAATGGCTGTGATCACAACGAACCTGCAAGCACATCAGAGCCTCATGCGATATCAAGAGCCGCGTCGGTTTCACCGATGGTGCGCCCATCATACATTGATCAAAATCGGCAAAGAAAGCACGCGAATGCGTCTTCAGAGCAAGCAGGGGAGGCGCCAGCCAAAGGAGGCTGTGCTCCGGATTCTCTATGGAAAAATTCCCGCCTCGATCGAAGACTGCTTGACAAGCTTCGACTGAACGGTACAAAAAGAGGTTGCCTAGGAAAACTAGAGCGGCATTATCGAACGACAGGTCTGACAGGCCTTCAGGCTGATCGACCGATCTCAACGGTGGAGGTCCCCCGTCGAGCTTGCGAGCGGCTGAAAACGTGTTGCACGGTGTGCCACAGTGCAAGAAGCGAACTGCCCCCGCCTGAATCAGCTGCATCACAAAGGACCACTGATCAGCGTCCACTACATCAAAAGGAGTGGGAACTTCCGAACACACAGTAATGTCGATCGGTGGAAGGGCGGGGATCCCCGCGTTCCTCACAGCCTGTGTCAAGGTTGCCGTCCCGGAAAAGATCTCCAAAAAGAAAGGTCCCTGAGCAGCAACTAGTGAGACGTCATGCGGAACTTCATCCCATGACGCCCATGGCATGTAAGTGGAAGACACTGTCAGCTCTGCCGAAAGAACTTCATTTGTGTCCTGTGGCTCCGAGCGAGCTGCAGGGG